CCTGGGGACATCAGGAAGAGTATGGCCAGCAGGTCAGGGAGAGATCCTGCCCCTCTGCCCTGCCCAGTTGAGGCACATCTGGAGTGTTGTGTCCAGCTCTCGGCTCTGCATTTCAAGAAGGACAAGGAACTACTGGAGAGGGTCCAGCAGAGGCCACAGAGATGATTTGGGGTCTGGAGCATCTCCCTAATGAGGAGAAACTGCAGGAGCTGGGCCTGGTCAGTCTGGACAAGGGAAGGCTGAGTGGGGATCCCATCAAGCCGCACAGACATCTCCAGGGGATGGCAGAGGAGAGTGCCAGGCTCTGTTCAGTAGTGCCAGTGACAGAATGAGGAGCAGTGGCCATATGACACAAGTTCCACCCCAACATAAGGAAGAACTTTCCATGGAGGGTGGCAGAGCCCTGGAACAGATGCCCAGGGAGAGTGCCCCTCTCTGGAGACATCCCAAACCCAGCTGGGCATCTTCCTGTGTCACCTACTCCAGATGCCACTGCCTGGGCAGGTGACTAAACTGGATGATCCCCAGAGGCCCCTTCAGCCCCAGCTATTCTGGAATTCTGGGAATATTTACTGTGCCAGTTTGTGGCTCTGCAGTGGGCTGTGTATGATGCAGAGCTGGTGATTTTGTCTGATACTACCCTGCCTCATGAAGGGCAGGAATTCCAGGTGATTTTTACCTGCTAGGAGCAACAGCATTAATCCTTGCCTGAGCAAGGATTGGAACAGTTTCCTCAGGTGTTTTCAGTATGCTCTGGGAAATTATCTTGGCTCCCAAGCATTTCAGGCTGAGGACACGGGGAATTCTTTATAAAACGCCCTTCAGCATGGCCGTGCATCATAGCACCCCTATTTAAGGCAGGGGCTCATTTTCCAGTTTGCAGGAGGGTCAGAGGGAATATCAGCACATCCTGGGGTCAACTCTGTATCCTCAGGGTTGGCAGTTCCTGCTGTCAGCATCCTGTAATTAGTGTTTAGGAACTGAATTATTTAGTGTTCTGTGTTTTATAGCTGCTGAAGGGATGAATTTTATTTACTGGCTCAGCAGCTGGTTATTCCATGTCTGAGTAGGTGGATATTAATGGAGAGAGCTCTTCACTCACTGCCCTTGCACTCCCCAGATTTGTTTCTCCTATCCAAGGAATAGATTCTATTTCTTGAGCAAGGGAGAGCCATGTAAACTGTGTTTAAAGGGTGTAAAAATGGTTGGTTTGGGTTTTTTTTGCCTAATCTCATGGGGAGTGAAAACATTTTTATTATAAAATGCCACACTGCCTTATCCCCTCTCACAATTCCACCTCTCCTGAGCCATTCTGAACAACAGGTTCTTCACAAGTCTGAGATCAATGAAAGGAGTCTGTGGGATTTTAGTCTTTCACTGATTTAAAGTCTCTCACAGTCACATAAGTAGATACTACAAAAAAATGAAAAGAACCTCTGTGTTAAACCCTGTAAGCCACAGAGTGACAGAGCGACTCTGGATAAAGCATGAGTTTTAATTCCAAATCTATTTTATTTCCTACAAGACCTTAATGTTATTATTTGTAGTTATAAAGACATGGCTGACCTAGAATAGACTATATTTTTAATCTCATTAGAAAAAAAGTTTCAATATTTATGTCTTGAATTAATTGGGTGATTAGTTTTGTTTTAAACATGACTGAGGTGACTCTACAATGACTTTACAAAGGAAAGGTGATCCTGAGGTCCCCTCCAGTGTGAGGTCAGAAAGGCTTAGCAAAAAATGTTGATTTTATTATACAGTTAAAAGTCACTACAAATGTGAAACTTATTTGAAACTTATCTAGATCTTGTTTGCATTTAGTTTGAAACTTCTTTTTTTAATGTAGACTTAATGCAACAGTGCTTTGGTGAGTTTTGGTTTTGTTTTGGTTGGTTTTTTGTGGTCTTTTTTTTGTGCCCATGATCAAACCTCCTTTCTTAAAATACAATAAGGAGAAGTTATTTTAATAAGTTTATTTTTGTTGTGAATCTCATTATGTATATCCAGTAGGCTGACTCTTAACTTTTTAATTTTTAGAAAAGAGCAGGGCAGATCTTTTTTTTTTTTAGTTTTTCAAAACTAAGCCATGTCTGTTAAAATTAATTAGAGTTGAAGGTTAGAATGTCAGTGCTGCTGGAGTTGTTATGATACATTTTTAGGAGTTGAATCTCAGCAACATTTAGAATCACAATCAGCAAAATTCAGTGAGAGGAGCTGAGGGAGGATGCTGATTAAACTTATGCTTGTGCTGTTGCCCTTGCACTGATTTAAAGAAAAAATCACCCTAAAAAGGGCAGTATTGCGCAGTCAGGAGTGGGACTGGATCCTCATGGGTTCCTGGCAACCCAGAATTCTGTGATTCCAGACAGAAATTCTCTAACTTGCCAAAATAAACAACCAAATCATCCTTTCATTCACTTCAGATTCATTTGAGAGGATTTTAAACTTTAAATCAGAGTACATAGAAAATAAAATCTGCCAGGCAGACTGAGAATGCAGCATTTAAAAGCCAGTGAATTGGGGAGGTTTGACCATTCCCTCTGCCTCTTTCTTTTGTTATGCTAATGGCATCTGGAATTTTGGATGATAGAGGGAAGAGCTGCTCTCTGCTGTACCAACCCAAGGCTTTCACTGGATGTGGTCATCAACCTTTCCTTCCTGCTGCTGGCACTAACACAGGGTGGTCCCCAGCACTCTGATGTTTAAAGGGAGACATCAAAGACAAATCCCTCAGCTGGGACTTAGGAAATGCTGTTCTTCTGTCTTTATTAGTGCAGGAAATAAGATTTTGAAGAATCTACTTGGGTTCTGGTCCTTTGGCTTGGAATTAAATTCCTACCGCTCATTTATGCACACAGAGAAGGTCAGCAGATCATGAGGGGGCTGGAAGATTGAATTTGAATGGAATATGCATTTCTCTGACCTCTGAGAGCCCATGCCTCACCTGAAACCACCCTGCTCCTTTCCTTGTCCAGAAAATCCTTCCTCTTTCCTCTACTAAAGACATCAACGAACAAATTGGAAAATCTGAGTTGAGCTACTTTTACATGAAAGACGCTAAAGAATCTTGGCTAATCAAGACAATGTATTCAAATCTGAAAGTTAATCTGGTGAGCCTTTATAGGTTTTTGAGCTGGAATGGCAACTGAAAATTAATAATTTTGTATTACAGAGTATTTTCATGTGGTTGGGAATGGCACAATGCTGCAAGAGCTGTGCTGATTCTGGACTTGCTATTTATTAAACATTTGTTTAAAAATTAGGTTTGTATCAGGAATTAAAAGGATTACATTAAAATTAGAGATGATTAGGTAAAATGTTATGCCAGTTATGGGAAATTTAAAAATAGCTTCAGTATAATAATAAACTTCATTATATTAATGCAAAATATTTTCCTATCATTAACAAATTAAAGCATGTTCCAAATGTTACATTAGCTCCTAGGGAAAAAAAACCAAAATCTTAATTTTTTTAGAATTATTGCTTTGTTGATAAATTAACTGTTACCTACAAAGTATTTTCAGAGCATTTCCCTGATCTCAGAGAAAATACTCTAAAAAAATATCATCCAGCTTGAAGGGGAAATAGCCATTTGAGTTATTTTCTGTCTCTTCTCTCAGCACCTAATATTAAATTAATTTATTAACGGTCAGAAACAACTACAAAGCAGTGCTGCACTACTGCTAATTTTGATTTCCTCAGAAAGTGCATTGTTGCTTTCACTTGGAAAAAACCAAACTGTGCTTGCTAGAAATAGCAATGAGATGCACAGATGAGAGGAATTGTCATGGGAGCGTTTTATCATCCATGGGAAGCAGCTCATGATCCTGCTGTACTTTCCTTGTGTGGATTGGGAGAATTAATTTCTTCCCTGCCCTTCCCACAACCAGGAGAATGAAGCCTTTTCTGACCAGGGGGTTTCAGAGATAACAAGGCCACACACAAAAATAAATGATAATTTTTTTAGGTGGGTGAGATTGTATTTGTGCTTTGTGGCCAAGCACAGACATGCTGAAATCTGCTTTTTGTTCTTATTTTCTGCCTGTAACATTTCACAGGGATTTCTCAGAGCAGCCTTCTAGCAAAGGGCCACCATCAAGTGGTGTCAGGAATGATTTTGGTGTCATCAAAACTCATTCCCTACCCTGAGTATTTCCTCACAGCCAGGTCCCCACTGCTCTGGGGCAGAGTCTGACTTACAGATTTACGAACTTATTTAAGGTTTGTACAAAAGCAAAAGAAACTCTGCTTCTTGTTCCTTCCTCAGCCTGGTTATAAATGCAGCCAGTGCCCTTCAGGAGGCAAGAGAGGGAGAGTGTCAGGATGTTCCTGCCTTTAAAACTGCAGCGTAGGAAAAGCCAAATGAATAAAGTTCTTTGGCCCTGGAATTCCTCCTTAGTCTCAGTTTTAGTGAGCTTTAGTTACATACCTGCTTGTTCTGTGTGCTTTGCCTCATCCAAACTCAGTAACTACAGAATTAAATATTGTCTGTGTGCTTATAAATGTATAAAATAATGGGAGAAATAGAATTATGACAGTGATACATGGATGTATTTTGGAAATCATACACAAGCACAAGGAACCATCAATCTAGTCCTGCAACAGTTTTCAAATTTATTAAGCCTGTGCAATGAAAATTTTAAATGAACTCATGTATTTTAAATCACCGTGTTTGGCACAGCTGAGCTTGTTTTGTTGGTGGTTGTGGTCAAATGACCTCAGAAAATAGTTATTTTGAAGTATATTCCCTCTTGCTGAAATCAAGGCTGTTACTTGAAGGATAGGTGGGAGAATATACTCAAAGGCATTAGTTATAAATCAAGCCAATCCTTTCTCTGCAAAGCCTTGATTTATGCATGTCAAATTAACTTTTCCAAACTTGCTGAAATTTATCTCAAACACGGGGCTTCTCAAAAAAGGGGAAATGAAATGTATTTGTGCTGTGCACTCAAGGTAAAATTTTGGAGTCAGTATTAATCAGGAGCAATGTGTTCCAGGATGAAGGGAACGTAATTCAGCAGATTCCTTTGGAGCAGCAGTTGTTCTCCTGACTGATAGAGGGATCAAAAAAAATGGTAAGAAAACTTCTTCTTTTAACTGGAAAGTGTATCTTCAATTCTCTCCCTCTCTCTCTCTTTTTTTTTTTTTTAATCACTATATTAATAATCCAAAAATGCATATTGGGAGTTTTGATGGTGAAGTGTTTAACAGATAAAACAGGCAAAGATGAAACTGTTTAACTGGAATTGTGTAATAGTGAAGAAAGTGTGATGGTTTATTACCTCCAGAGGTATAACTAATGTGTCATTTCTGCTATTCTGCATGTACAAAAAATAGTTCTGGGGTCTGGGATAGATTTATTACTGTTCATTGATTGCCTCATTCTGTAGCAGGACGTTTCTGGCAGTAAAGCAGCAGAACTGTCACATCCATCATGATGTGTCAGAGATGTGTCAAGACTGGGGCTCTTTTTTGAACTTTACTGCTCCTGAAAAATGTAGCTGAGCATTATAGGCAGAAGTCTGACATTTCCAAGATGAAAATCAATCTTTCTTTATGTGGTGATTCTCAAAGCAGACTTGAGCTTTGATTGCACAAGAAGTGGTTTCACATGTCGGGGGATACAACAGGGATACCAAATAATTTGGGTAACAGATCTGGCAGGTGTTCTGTAATGAATATAAATTGGAGAAATGATCATAGAAGAGATACTCAAGTCAAGATGGCATAGCAAACATTGATCTGCTGCTGTCACAGCTAAGAACCTGAAGGTGTTTCTTTTTGGTTTGTGTATTTTTTTTTGCATTTCTCTTTGCTGTGGATTAAAAGGGTAAATACAGCCTACTGTGAATTTGTATTCCATATTATACCGTATTTAGTGGGAGAAAAAAAATGAAGAATTGTTTAAATTAGTTGCCAAAGCATGAGAAGCAATGAAAGGGTCTCTTGTACAGGAAGGGAGGGCACATGAAACACTTTGACCTTTAAAATGAAGCTGAAAAAAATGTTCAAGCAATCTATATAATTGTAATACCTTATTAAAAAAGAAAAGTCATTGTGTCACAGGTCCAGGGGCTCAGCACCTTGGCATTGTGGTGTTATTAGAGACAAAAAAGGACAGTTCTGTGCTGGCAGCTGTGTCTAGAGGCAGCAGAAATCTGAGGAGAATGGTAGCACAGAACCACAAACAGCCAGACAAGCACAAATTTTTAGATGCTGGGAGCATGATGATAAAATATTTTGATATTGGGCTGTTTCCAAGGGAAGATGTTAGGAAATAATGAGCAGAGCAGTCTTGCTTTCTCATATTTTTTATTCAGGGAAATATCTAAATAAATAAGATGATGATGTGATACTCAGTTGTCCCCTTCCACAAGCAAGGAGCATAGAAATTCCATGTAGTAACCACTTTCAAAGATCAGTTTAAGATAATCAGTTGCTATTGAAATCAGGAGGTTTCAGCTTGGTTGTTTCTCAGTTTAGCCACTCAAATGCACGCTGATTCTCCTCACAAATAATGCCCTGTCAGCCACAAAACACGGACACAATTTTGTTAAGGAGTTTAGCAAGTCATGAAATCCCTAATTAGGGGAGGAACAGTTTGATCTCTTTGAGTTTCTAACATTTATTTAATTTAGGACAAACAGCAAAAGTCCCTCGAGCACACAAGTAGTCTGAAGTTTAAACAAGATGACAGCTAAAACGGATCGATGATTTCTCATCCCTAATGACTTTCTATTAATAAGGTGAAGAAAGATTTCCAAGGTAAAGGCACCCAGAGAAGCAAATCCACTCCACTCCAGAGTGGACTCCATTAACATAAATTGCCTTCAGCCCATTAAGCCTCAGCACTGAGCTGTTTTAAGCAAGAGTTTGTTTCTAAAACTCTGGAAGGCAAGGAATTAAACACCACCTGAGTTTTAAAAGCATGTTTTCTGAGCCTTAATAGAATGACACTTTGTCTTACTTTTGTGTCTCTAGTCATGCAGGAAATTAGAGGACTGGCTTCTTCCTGCAGACTTTGGGTTTCAGGCTTCAGGCTCAATTTGGCAGCTTATATTGCTCAAATTGGCTTGTAAATGAGATATTTGTTTCTAAAGTATGACTGATATCAACTTGCTTACAAATACTTACAACGTGGGCATGCCTCTCATTTGGTTCTGTAATTATATGATGGTTTTTCTTGTCAAGAGAGCCGAGAAACTTAATATTGATTTATGTTCCTGAGTTTCTGAAACTGCAATGTGTCATTGTTGAGCATAATTTAGAGTGGCCTTTTTTAATCTTGTATGTGCCAAGCTTGAGCTCATTTAGGGCTGGAATGATCTCAAAAATCATTTAACCCTTGTGTGGGTGTGGTGACAGTGGTCATGAAGATGATGTCATTGAGGTGTCTGATTTCTTTATGGTTATCTGTTTGCTATGAAATTATATTTTCAGTCAAGGCCCTGAATAAATTCAGCATGAGAATTATTAACATTCCTATCTCTTGGGTGTCCTGTGAGGCTTTATCTTCTCACAGCAGGACATGGACATGGATGCTCTGCTTGCCTGTGTCCAGAATGCACTGGAGGTGCTGCAAAGTTCTGTGCTGACACCCCAATGCCAGGCAGACATTGAAGGGATCTATCTATGCCTTCTCAGTAAACTGAGTTCCTCAGTGATGCCCAAAATGTTATTAAAATTTAAAAATGCCAGGTTTTGATGGAATAAAATCTCAAATGATCAGTCTTTCTTGATAAACAAGGAAAAAAAAGGTAAAAAAATCAAGTCCATTCTGGGACTCTGTAATTCTATGATTAGTAGATTCTGTGTTATAATAATACCTTAAGGGGCAACTACATTTAAGGAACATAGTGGGATGTTTGTTTTCTGTCAGGTTTTTCCCTTATATTTGCATTCCAGACCATCTGGAGAGGCCCAGACAAACTGCAGTCTGTGCCCTTAAGTCTCTGTTGAAATCACTGCATCACAATTCCCCAGTTCAAAGGAGGCTGCCACTGAGCTGATGTATTTAACATGCAGGTAAATAAATACACAAACCTAGTCCATATATTCAATTAATTTTCATAACAAAACTAAAATCATGATATTGAGAATTTATTTCAGCTTTTGCATTAATAAATTGATGGTAATATTTTGAATATTAAATTCTCCTGGAATTTCTTTTGAAGCGTGATGCATTGAGAGACAGTTTGTGGGATGTGGAAATTAATTTTTGACACATGTTGACATTGTGATCGGAGCTCTAAGTTTCCCAGGGTGAAATGAAAACGAGGAGGTGATCCAGGAGTAGCTGGATCATGTGGACTCTCTGTCATGGATACTTTTGTCTGTATGCTGAACCTGTGCTTCTCAGTCCCTGACCTGGAATCCCACAAGGAAGTGTGGGATATAGGCAGGGATTGGGCTATTTGGTTTCATTTGCATTGGGAGATTTTTTTGTTAACTCAGTGCTAACCATTCAAATTTATTCAGCTCAGTATGAAGGGTTGAGGTTGCAGGACTGCTGAGCTCACCCCACGAGTTTCTTCAACTAGGAGAGGATAACTGCTGTCAGCTGGAAGGTTTGAGTAGCTCGAACAACACAGCTTTCCTCTGAGGGCTGGTTGCTAGTGGGATTGAGGGCAGTGGTTGGTTGCAGTATTAAGAGGATCATCACAAACATGAGGTGAGGAGGAATCCAGCAGAGAGGTGGTGAGAGAGAGCAAGGCTCGTGGACTATTCCCAACTGCCTTGTCATGGAGACAACTGTTAATAGAAACTGGGAACTGTTCATTTATTTGTTATTTGATGAGTAGAGCAGCATTTCTGTGCCTTCACAGACTGACTGGTGTCAGAGGGGGTTGTTGATCATAAAGTCTTGTCCTTGTGGAGGGAGCCAGGCACGGGCCCAAATTGGTGCATTGGTCAGAAGGGCACATACCTGAGAGGAAGTGTTTTGGCTGAGCTGCTTTGGTCAGATGAAATAGGCCTCCTGCTGGAATGCTATCCTTGTGCAATTGTTCTTTCCTAGTTGCTTGCGGCTGGGAAGTCTAGGATATACACCAGCAGTGATGTCTGTTCAATTTTTCTATCCAAAACCCCCTCTCAGATGTACCTTTAACAACTCTTTAATTCTGAACTGTTTCCAATTCTGATAAAATTGCATTAATTACTCATATTCCTGCATTCATTTTGCTATGAAACAGAATACGTTTTCTTTGTGTTATTGCACAGCATTCTGGAACAAACTGAAATCCAGGTTCTATAGTGTTTGTGTCATCACAGAAGATCATTGAAGCACAGTCTGAAGCAGCAGAACTGTTCTGCACTCACTGGGGGTGCATTTGTGCATTGAGGATTGCAAAGAGAGGATGTTTTCCCATCCTGTACTGACAGATTTGCTGGCAGAAATATGTAGGTTAGGTCAGGTGACTATCCAGTGATGCTGTCACCCTTTATGTTCGTTTAGGAGAGTGTGGGCCAGCAGGGGCCCTTTGCTACCTGTTGTAAACAAGGAGGAGTGTTAGGTTTTCCTTCGGCTGCCCAGAACATCCTTTCTGCAACAGCACCAGCCAAGTCCCTTTATATCTGTGGGCATGGAATGGTTTTGGATCTGTTTAGACTTCCAAAGCACATTGTCAGAGGTGTAGGGGAAGGGAATGGGTTCTGTTTCCCCCAGTGATGTTTTGGGACAGAAGGACTGGATTGTTAAGAACAACTCAAAGCTTTCACACTGTCTACCTGTTCTTGGAGAAAATTTGTGTGGGACAGTTGACCTAGGTTGTGGACCTAGAAGGCCAATGGCCCTGGGCTGTGCCAGCCGTGGGGTGGCCACAGACCCAGGGCAGGGCCCGTCCCCTGGGCTGGCCCTGCTGAGGGACCTCGAGGGCTGTGTCCAGTTCTGGGCCCTCCTGGCCAGAGAGCCCTGGAGGGGCTGGAGCGTGTCCAGGGAAGGGAACGGAGCTGGGGAAGGGTCTGGAGCCCCAGGAGAGGCTGAGGGAGCTGGGAAAGGGGCTCAGCCTGGAGAAAAGGAGGCTCAGGGGGAACCTTCTGGCTCTGCACAACTCCCTGACAGGAGGGGACAGCCAGG